AAAGCCGGGCATTTGAGAGGCACTTGGGTTTACATATGCCACAAAAAATATTGACAGCACCCATAGGACACACCTTAATGGGTATTACGGAAAGGCCTGTCCATGGTAGATGGCAATTAAAAGTCCCGTGTCCCCCCATTGCACCTGCTGCTATGTGGCCAAACCGCAGAAACACTACCACAACAAGTGACTCGTAAATATTCCCCCATTTCTATTTCCCCCACGTCAAGCCCGAGCATAAAGAACGTTAATGTTTTTTCCCTTCCTGTCCGGCAGGTGAGGCAGATGTGAAAGGGCATTTCTGGACTTCTTTTCACAGTTTTCCGTTTTAAACTGTAGCAAATAACCGTCACAGGCAATTAGCTTTTATTGAAGAGGATATTTATTTTTGGGATTAACTTGTTTCCTAGCAACTCTGAATGAAAGTTGACTTTGCATTGCATTTTTGCAATTAGGAGCGCGTTGAGTAATAAAAGTCACCCATTAATGCCACCGTTTAGCGGGCTTGTATAGACCAAGATGGCTTGCATATGGCAGACTTGTTCAAACTATTAGGATCTGCTGGTCCTCTGACACCACCATGTTCCCGCCTGTTGCTGTTTTGGCCCCTGCCAAACACCACGGCTAAACCCACACGATGATGAATGATTCCAGGATTTCCCTCAACTCTAAGTGATGGCTCATTATATGGTTATTAAAAGTCGCCACCAATGTCATAGCTTCCAATCCTGCCATCTGTGTTGGAACTAATGTGTCACTGGTGCCACAACGGCACCCTTACAGCACGCAACAGCATGTGAGTGTAGAGCAGAGGTCTCAGAGGACCTCCTTTTTCCCTCCGACTGTCTAGTGAGGTGCACGCAGTGTGCACAGGAGATGCATTCATGTGTCGTATCAACCTGTTATAATAGCGCAGATTACTATCACCGATCCATACAGCGTGGAGCCCACTGGGCCATTTCCTGTCAGTGGTTTCACTTGTCGCGCCTTTGAAGCGGGCTGTAATAATAGGACCCAACAGAACTAATGAAAATGCTCTCTGTCAGATTAAAAGGGAGCTTCAGACTCAGCCGCCTAACCACATTCAGCACAAACAGTGAGACACATGCACACGCAGAAGCACACGTGCACCAACAGTTTACAGAAGTGGTTTACACAGGGAGGAACGTTCCTTCTGATGTGTCTGGATGACTGCTTACCCTCCCGACAACACAGAATAGCATCAGCTGGATTGGATTGATGTCAGAGGGGAAAGGTGAGGGGAAACAAAGAGGCTCATTCCTTCGATACGTGCAATGTTTATCTCTTTTTTTTTCCATTGATGCTGCAATGCACGCTGTAGTTGGTGGTCCTGTTCTTAATGATTCCACTTCAGTGCAGTTCCTCTCCATAAGCCTTAAGGTTTAATCCCTCAGTCTGGAGCAGTGAGAGTCTGGCCCAGGGGATGACATCTGTGAATCGTTCATTAACTTGTAACCAGCAGCAGATGTCTTCAAAAGCAACTCACAACATCTACGCTGTATTTCTTTCCCTGCAAATGTCACTTTGGCTTCGCTTCATTGCCTCGTGGGCATGAGGATCCTTTTGACTTAACGCTTAAAAAGAAAATGCAATTTTGTGACGACAATGTATTTACCCATTTCTTTTTTTTACATGATTGGGCCACTTAGAGATAGAGAGGACTCAGCTAGCTGTAATCATTATGCACGTGCTGCACTGCATACTGGGGTTGGTTAAAAGGGTACATGGATGTAAGTAAGTCAAAGTACTACACATGGAAAAATATCAGCACCAAGTCACCTCGGCAACAGAGGAGCTCCCTGCAATATATGGGCACAATTCATTATCACTGTTAAATATACAAGTATCTTCCTCATTGTGGCCTCACAATAAGTAACCAGTTCAATAAGATAGAAATAAAACAAATATGGACAACCTGGCATTTAAAAAGTATTTAAAAATCAACAGGACAATAAAACATTGCCAAAGCAGAAAAGGAGGAAATTTAATATAATATAATAATATAATATAATTTTATTGTGGAGAGCCAAGACAGCTGAAATCATGGCTTTAATGGTTTTACACAACAAAGTGATTATCGACATTCACACATTCAGTGGAGGGAGTTGTTGTACGCACCTGTCTGAGCGGCAGAAAAGCTTCACACACCTCAGACGAGGCACGAGTCCCGCAGTGACCGCAGAAGGCGTTAGCATGTTAGCGTCGCATGTTAGCCAGACGTGACTCTAGGTCACGGACATCGTGTGTGTTGTTCAGAACGATGACATGGCAATAATGCCAATAATAACTACATCCCACATGTGAATCTGAAATTGTTTGGGCTCGCCGTGGCCCCGAACTCAACGGTTGCAAACATTTACAACGCTTCACATCTGGAACATTGGCTTCAATGCTGCAGCTGCTGATTCATCTCCTTTCTCCTCACGCCGACTGGCTCAGGGAAAAGTTAGAGCAGGGACCTTCTTAAAAGCAACACAAAACTGCTCGTGACACAAACAATGGAGTGTGCAGATCAACAAAGTCAGTGAGGGCGACGTGAATGTGTGGAGAATTAGCACGTGGAGCAGCCTGCTGACGTTAGCCAGGACAGCGGGAGGGACGTCACGACACCCACACCGTTTATTGGGACTTTGTCATGTGACTTTACTCTTGAAGGGATGCAACTTGACATGTTGTACAATGTAGTACGATGGTACAATACATCATTTTGTTACGCTGGAAAAGGAATTTGGGCCGGGAGGTTAACACAGCTAAAATCTGTCGAAACGTCTTGGTAGTTGGTAGTTCATTAAGTCGTCTTTGACATTTTGAAGCTGTGTGAGACTTAATTTCTTCCGCAACGTCTTGCTGGCTGAAGTGCATTTGGTACTGATACAAGATTTCAGTTGTCGGCAGTATATGGGCGAAAACATGCACGGACTGGAGGAAAGTCACGTAGCTTATGCTTTCCCTAAATGTGGCCTGTTCTGGGTTTTTTTACGTTGCTAACCTCTGACTGCGTTTAGTCCGTTTTGGGACTTCATAGAGCAAATGTCAATCGGTGGAAGCTGTGAAAAAGAATCGCCTCTACTGTAAAATATGCCGTGCCGCTTTGCACAGCTGTGAAAGATGTTCAGGCTCTTAAAACTGCTGTGTTGTAGACATGGAGAATATAAAGAGTGGGGTAGTTCAACACTGACAGCCTCCCTATGGAAACATCATGTGTGATTTTAGGGGGGTTAACCAGAGCGGGAAGACTGTGGTCTGTGTCTCCATGGATGATATATATGCGACACTGCGTGATGATTCATCTGCTACTGTGCATCCATAAAATGTCCGGCCGATTCAGCTCGTTTTTTTTTCCTCTTTCGAGACAATGATTATACGGTATGGATCTTGTGCTAAATTCGCCGTGACTCACATTTTAACATTTTGCCTTTGCACATGCAGCAGGCACGTTTGGTCTGGAGAAGCGCTTTCTTGTATGTGTTTATTTGATTTTTTGAAGACCACAAAAGCGAATAAGTGCGACATGCATCGTTTAAAGAGGTGATTGAAAGTGTGTTTGTAAAAAGAATAAAAAGGCAAGCGGCCCAGCCAAATACGTGTTGCAAGGGCATTATGCTATGATGTTGGGAATGAACGAGCCACCGACGGCATGCGCTGCTTTTGTACCATTCACGAGGGTGCGTCATAGTGAATTACAAACCCTTAACAGTACCGTCATGCTCATAAGGCCCAATCGACCATGTCCAATCCGTTGGCTCGAGGTAGCACTCGTGTTATGCAGCGCAACGTGATGGATTTAACAAATGTTTTGCAAATCATATAATTGTACACTGAAGTGAGACAAGGAAACGGCTGTTTGGGTGTTTGGCCCCATATAATATAGCCAGAGACAATAATGAAAAGCTTTGTGATACAGTCACATGAAATGTACTTTAATAAAACACAACGTACACATATGCAGTCCTATGACCATACATTTGCTGGATCCTAATCATCAAATCTATATAATATGTCAAAGCATAGTTTTATCTTTTTTTCTTGTTACTTTAAAACATTGAAATCAGTAGAGGAGGTCAAATGAATGCAATACAACACTTTGCGTGACAAAAACCTTTTCCATGTGTTAAAGATATGCACTGTTATAAGGAACACAAAGATTATTTCAGCATATAAGAGTAACAGCATGAGGCAAAAGTTCTCACCGAACAGAAAAAGTACAAAACAGAATTAATAAATAAATCAAATATATACCATATTAATGAAATAGCTATGTAGCGGCTATGTTTATTATTTGTTTTTAATCATTTTAATCTGAAGCTTGGTATTACAACCTTTTTATCTCTAAAACATTTAGAACGATGTCAATACTGAAAATACAGTAATAAGCTTTTATAATTAGATAAACTATGTACACATGATCCATTTGCCATGCTAGTCGAACAAGTAAATTTCTTCTTTTTTCTTTTATCCACACTATACAGTTAGAGCATGAAGCGGTCTGAACGTAAACAGTAAACAGTGTGCTGAGAATAAAATACTTTGCAACTATGCATGGTAATTTCATTAATATTACTCTCAAAAATGTACATAACATAAAGGCCACACATGGGAACGCTCCTGTCTCCATTTAGAGGGAAAGGTTAAGGGCAGTTTTGACATAAATATATCTAGGAACAAAAAAACAGTCTCTCTCAGTTCAAGATGCTATTTTCTAGTCCATCAGCATCATTTGCTTCAGTCGAATCTCGTTTGTCTCTTCACCCTCGTTCCTTTTGTCGTCCTCCCTGATCCAACACCCCCCCCCCTCTCCCACCCTCTCCCACCCATCCCCCCCCATCCCTTCTGAAAGCTGTGTAGCTTTGCCAACTACCTCCCTACCTCTCCCATTCACCTCCCCTCTATCCGGCTCTCCCGCCTCCAAAGATTCCGGTCGCCCCCCCCTGTCTTCCATCACTCCGGGGGGGGAAAATGAAACTTTTAATAGAAGGAAGGGAGTTTTGTTTACGTTGACAATAATGGTCCACACGGCAAGGCAAGGGGGCGGGGCTGAGGGAACAGAGTCACCGCGCTGGTCACTGCGGCGGGCGGCGTGAAGCGTGTTATAGTGTGTTGATGCTACTTGTGTGCGCTGGACGTGTGTTTTTCGTTTGCGACGGACATTTGAGTATTGGTTGTGTGCTGGTGGGCAGGGTGTGGGGTGGGGGGGGGGGGTGGGGGGCCTAGGGGTGGGGGCGGTGGGGGTTTCGTGGTGGTCGTCGGCCAGGATATGGGTGCGGCAGCAGCGGCTAGCAGCTTTGCGTTGCTTCTTTGTTCAGTGGGAAGTCCGTGGTTTCGGTCCTCACTGGCTGGAGCGAGCAGAGGCCAAGTGGTCGCTGTGTTGGTTCTGGGCCCGAAACCGCAGCCTCTGCTTGTTCTTCTTCTTTGGTTCTTTGGACCGTTGCTTCCCCGAGCCACCTGGGATAAGAGAGAGAACAAAAGAGAAATGGTTTTAAAATCAGTATCCCCCCCGGCACTTTTCTCTAAAGTAATGCTGTTTTTTCTCTGTCAGAGTGCTTCCCCTCCATGTCACGTGATCCGTTTCTCCAGCAAATGTTACATGACGACTAAGGCCGGATTACCGGCAGAGAACAGTGGCCAACTGTCCCAGCGCCTCGGGGGCCCCCGAAGGCCGAAGGCTGTCTGTGTGGCAGTTACTTGTGTTTACTTGATTAATCGTAAATCAGTTTGAATCGCAGTGAAGAACCTCAATGCCGCAAGGTGACCTGCGTCAAAATGTATTCTTTTTTCCTTTGACTGTTTTCTTTGTTTCAATTTAACTCCAGTTTAAGGATATCGCCTTGTTTCTGGGATCAAATAGGCGAGTCGTTCCTAAATGTAATCCAACTATCCAAATATCAGCATTTATCAAGTATTTTGTTTGTGGGAAGAGCCGTCCCACGAAGAGGAACATCTCAATCACATACCCTCAGTGACCTGGCCCCACTAGATAGTGTTGGCAGCGGCGTGCTGCTGAACTAAGCGTATTTGCTTGAAGCGAGCAAGAGGAGCCTGTCGTGGGGATGGCACTCTTTTTTATGTCAATCAGTCTGAGTTCTTCAATGTTGAATTTATACCTGGTGAGAATTGGCCTTTGCCGAAAAAAACAAAAACTGGCCGGGATGATGCAACCCACAGACGAGGGTGCAAATGATTGCTTTTTTTTTTAAGCGAGCAAACAGAGGAATGACCTATGAGCACCACTTCGATTGATTTGACCGTGAAACGGCGGTCGTGAAATGAACTGCTGTGGAATGGATTACGTGAACTCAAACTGCTTATTTTGGGATGGGCTACTCCAAATTTGGGGCTTGGATTTCATTACAATGTATGAAATTTAGGAACATTTGAAAAAGGTGATGGACGAGGAAGATAACCACTTGGGGGGAAAAAAAATTTGCTTTGAGTATTGATGTCTCCTAAAGATTCGTAAAAAGCCCTCACACTTCTGCCACTGCCAATAAAAAATCTTGTATTACAGAAAGAAGTGAACCTTATATGAGGGAACATCGCATATCAGGTCTATCAGGTTTGCTCCAACCCTCAGGACTCAACCTCAGCTTTAAACAAATGTCTGTTCAGACCAACACTTTTTCCAGACAGAGAGGGGATATAAGTATGGGAAGTTGCATAACCCTCTTTCCAAGTTGGAAAGGTTAATCCATCCCAGGTTTCAATTGGACACGCAAGGCATGCTGGGAGCTGACTTCCTGCTTTCATGGAAGTTTGTGTGGTGGAGGCTCGGCACCCACGGCTCTCTGTGACAGAGAAAACTCTGGCTACCGAACCGCAAGGCAACAATCCGGCTGCCAAGGCCACAAATAAGATAACGAGGTGTGTGTGCGAGATGTATGTGTGCGAGGGGGGAGTGAGTGTGAGGGAATTTAAGGGAAAAGTAAAACTAATGGGAGGAAAAGTGGAGTAAGGCTTGGATGATGAGACGCTACCCTGATCCTGATCTAGAACTCAAAGAAAAAAGCCCCGCCATGGTTCGCTGAGGGGGGAAGCACAGGAAAGGGCTGCAGAAAAACAAAAGCCCTCGTCGTTTGGTTGCCTGATCCTGGGTCTTATTACCGCACTCGATCGAGCCGTTTCTCTCACGGAAAAATGGGTAACGGCGTGTAAAAGGAGGCATTATCTCTAATTGCCATCTCTAAGTTTCTTGTGTTGCGGTGGCCTTTTAAGCACCCCTACAAAATGCTGATTTCCTTTTCGCAGAGCTACACTGTGAGGGAGATTTTGAAAATATTCACCAGCATAAGCCGACAGGCATGAGAAAGCAAGATATTGCTCTGCTAATATGGTCTCCTAGTGAATAATACCGATGCATGCAAACATCAGAAACATCTCAGAGCTATTTCCCGCAATTAATCTAATCTTGTTATTTTGAAACAGTCACGTTGCCAAACTGAGCCCTGGCTATAACGTTTCTCGCACAAATCACCCTTTGCAAACAACATCTCTTCCATCAAACTACATTTTCAGTACACTTGTTTAGCTGATGCCACTTTAGATTTTTTTTTGCATGAATATAAAAATGTTTGTTAAAGTAAATTTGAAGCTGAAAGGCATTTGGCCTATAGGTGTGTTTTCCTAATCGCTCTTTAAAGAGGTAATTTTCATTCAAAACAGTGTTGCTAAGGGCCCGATAAACACGGCTTTCCGTGCAATCAACTCAAGACAAATTACATTTGACGGCAATAAAGTGCGGCGCATTAAACTCCCTCCACATTGGGCAAAGACGTCGTGGGCCATTTCTTGGACGTAGGGATGCATTTAGACTGAAAAGGCCTGCATGTACAGCAACAGCTTAAAACGTTAAAAAAAATATATATATATATATATATATATGTATATTTATATGTGTGTGTGTGTGTGTTTAAGGAATTACTAAAAAAGTACTTTTCCTGGCTAGCTCAGGCCTGGGCAGGAGATCTGGGATCCAAAGAGTTTTACACTCCCTATAGGAGTGCTCATAACACACACACACATACACACACACACACACATATACAGAGAACAACTATTCAGCAACTGCACTTGCCGACCGCATTCCTGAGGTATACAATGCGTCTTACGGGATAGGATTACTTTTTAAAACTTTGATCACACCTACTCGCATCACGTTGCCCCTTCCTTCCTCTTGCCTCTTCACTACGTTCAAGAACATGGTGGTACAGGCCGTCTTCAAGCATTCCGTACAGATGACAGGGCAGCACCTGTATTTTCAGGTACGGTTTGGTACGCCTAAAAAGGGACACATCGAGAGACGCGCGTCCGTCTCTGTGGTCCCCTGCTCTCCGTCTTTCTAGGGCAGCTGTTTCCAACTATTTTCGTCTTGTTCCTGTGATGTTGTGTCACATCCATGCATAAGTCAAATGATCATGCTACTCGTGGGATATAAAAAATATTCTTCTTAAAATAAATAATAAACAAGAACAAGTTCTGGAGCCAAATACGCTTTCCAGTTCCTGCTGTTTAAGTGATGACGTATAAATCGCCAGATTCTTGATAATTCTAGTGCGCCGATACACTCAATATTACTGAGCATCGAATCAGACCAGTACCTGTATTCTTAATGCGTTTCAAGCTTCGGCTGCCTAAACAAACTGAAACCGTATGAACTCAAGGACGTCAGATCATATTTCATAACCCCATCTCAACGCTGACAGCTAGAGGGCAACCAATCCCCACACAAGCCCCTTCCCTCAGCATCTGATACCAGAGATATGGTCCATCATCTCTGCCCAAGAAATCCCATTTAGCCTTTCCTCCGGGCAACACGCACGCTGAACACTGAGCTTTCATCATCTCTTATTCACGGCCGATGTAATCACTTAAGGTGATTACCAGGGTTCACAGAGGAAACGGTTTAATTTGCCTGGAAAGAAATGATTAAGGCATCTCAACTGCTTTCAAAACCAAGAACAAATTCATAAATCTTTGAGTATGTAGAGATGATTTTGTCTTGGAAGGTGCAGGTGGTGGTCAAATCTGTGCTGCTCTGTAACTGGCACTGTGAGGATCCAATCAAAGCAGGATGGCTTTTATCAGGGAATTATAATACTTATTTATCTTCTCTCTTCGCTCTGGCTGTACTTCTACAGCTGTTTAGTTTGCCCTCGCTGAGGCAATGTTTCCCTGCCAACTTGACATTTGTACTTGAGTTTGAGTTTGAAAAGACAATTTAATCAAACCAACAACTAGAATTCTCAAGAGCCAATCAAAATGTTTGGTGTTCCTCAATCAGAAGCAGAGCCTGCGGCGCGATGGCTGTTTACCGCGGCTGTCAGAAATGACCTTTGTGGAATTCTTGCGAATGACAAACGACTCCTTTATGCCCGTGCGTCCCTGATTGTGCACCTACAGCGTATCACCTACGTTGGACTTGAGAAACACTCAATATCATTTCCAATCTTTCCGGCTGCCAAACCAGTGAGCAAAGAAGTCCTCTTGCACGCACGGTGGCGTTCCTCGCTAACCTCCCAAAGCCAGCTGGGATCCACACTGCTTTTACTTTTTCCTCCACCTCATTCTCCTTCTGCCCCTTTCCCCTCTGCGCGTCCTTGCGATATCTATTTGAGGCTCTCAGCGATAATGGAGACGACAGCATGGTGAAGGTCCAACTAAGAGTTAAGCGCATATCATATTATTAAGCTCGCACTCCAGAATAATATCTCCTTGGCAATATGACTACTTGTCTAACTGATGCACTGAAAGATAATCAGTCAATTCCATATCCAGGGGGAATGAAGCCAAAGCCAAAGCTCCCTTGAGCTGTGTCAAAGCTAATATCTTTATTTTGGAAAAGAGCACTTAACTGACGAATATACAAATGTACATGAGGGAAAGTCTGCATAATGCAACAGTGTTGTACTCTCTGAAATAAGGCTCCTATGCTTTGCTGCTCCTGTGGCTACTGTAGGGATGGAAGTCACCATAATCACAGAGGCCACGACCTGTTAAGAAAGAGCAGTGCAGAACGGTCGGTACCGTCGGATTTCATCCACTAACGGCTACGGCAGCAGTGCAGGAATTAAAGGCCTAATCTTATCTCCATTGCGTGCGGTTTCGAGAGAAATCAATGGCTGACATCGAGAAGGCATTAAGACATTCGGTAAATGGGATCCCACGATGCTGAAAACTCTACCTCTGCTCTCCCGTTACCTCGTCACTCCACTTGACGCAGGCGGTCGGTGGATACAGTTTTGTAGGACGTGGGGCTGGAGGTATTGGGGTGGGTTGGCGGTAAAGAAAGAAATAAAAATCAAAAACAATTTTGAAGAAGATTCGTCTGGACTTAAGGAAGGCAAAGCCGGAATTTTTGGCAGCTCGTCTTTTTCATAAACATGCCAAAGCGGAGGCCATTATTTGTGAGGGAAGGAGAGAACTACACTGGCGCCAGTGAGATTTGATTT